TAGTACTATTTCTTATAATCTGTTTTATTTGTTATTTTTTTGTAAAGCTGCTTAATTTAATCCTTCATTTATTATCTTGGGTAAGGTGAGATCTCATACTTAGAAGGAAAATGTGCTTTATGTAATGTTAAAGTTATGTAAAGCTGAAGGTATTGAAATCGGTACACTGTATCGGCCGATCACCATGTCAGAATCAGTACTCGGTATCAGCTGCAAAAATCCTGATCAGAGCATCCCTAATTATTATTATTATTATTATTATTATTATTGCTATTATTATTAATCACTAGCACCATAGAAAATAATAAACATTACTAGTAATAATTATAGGTATTATTATTAATATAATGATTTACTAGTACTTTATATTAATAATAATAATAATAATAATGATGATGATATCATAATAGAATTACTATAAACATGATATCAATATTATTATTAATATGATTAATAGTAACATATTAATAAAAATAAGTGTTATTATGTATTTATTATTATTTTTAATATGATAAATAAGATTGTGAAAATATTGTTGACTGCTTTTACTAACACTGGAATTTATTCGCCCATTCATTTATTATTGTTGTTATCATTAATACTATCAAATATAGTCATTATTATTACTATTTTTATTATTAACCATTATAATTGTTGTTTACCATCATCAATATTAATATTAATATATTAACATATTGATATAATTAAAATATTGGTATAATTAAAAAGAATAAACAATAATAGTAATAATTATCTATTATTTTTATTATTATTATTATTATGCATTCATTGTTTTATTAGTATAAATAAAATAATAAGAATAATAATAACATCATCTACATCATTATAATTAGTAATAATAATAAATTCATATTCATAATCAAATTATATAATAACAAACAACATTATCATATAATAATAATAATAATAATAATAACAACAATAACAAACATCATAATCATATATAATAATAACAACAATAATAAAAATATTAATCATCATCATACATAATAATAATAATAATAATAATAACATCATCATTATCATATAATAAAAATACTACTACTAATAATAACATCATTATCATTATATGATAATAAAAATAATTAATAATAACAATACCAGACATCTTCATATATAATAATAATAATAATAATCTTTATAATCATATATATATATATTTATTATAATAACAACAATCAACAATCATCATCTTCATCATCATCATAATAATAATATATAATTTCAACAAAACTTAAGGTACTTTTTTCTACTACTTTATTTTCTTTACAAATAGACTATATACTATATATATATATTTTTTTTTTTCAAAAATATGGCCAAAGTGCAGGAGGTTTGTGTAAAGCTGAAAAATAAAACTGCATTTTCATAGAAAAACCCTTCATGTTGACGGGTGAGGAGTAATAAACTGTTCACTTCACACTCTGCACGAGACCAGAGTTGAATTGTTTCACAGCTTTTCTGTACAAATACAACAGAAATGGACTTTTCTAGCGTTTTGAAAACAGCCAGAAACCCTCGCGCTACACAGAGCTTCGGTTTAAAGCCGTGACTCAGAAAAGTCAGGAAACAACAGGAGTTAAGGCACCGATTGAGGCACGGTTCATATGCAAAACATACATCTTTCCACATTCCTGAAGCGCTTCCATACAGTCGCTGAAATCTGTCCGACACACACTGTACAAAGTCTGACGGGTAAACCCACTGCCTTAAAATTTAGTAAATTGAGGGGTGGCATGGTGGCTCAGTGGTTAGCACTGTGGCCTCACAGCAGGAAGGTAGCTGGTTCGAGTCCCAGCTGGGTCAGTTGGAGTTTCTGTGTGGAGTTTGCATGTTCTCCCCGTGTTGGCGTGGGTTTCCTCTGTGGGGAGTGGGAATGAGAGTTTATGGGTGTTTCCCAGTACTGGGTTGCAGCTGGAAGGGCATCCACTGTGTAAAACATATGCTGCAATAGTTGGCGGTTCATTCCGCTGTGAAATAAAGACTGAGCTGAAATTACAACAGAATTACTTGTATTTTAAGTTCAAGTTAAATCAACTTGTCACTTTTAAGGCAACGGATTTACTCACTTTTTAAGTCATCGTTTTGTACAGTGCAAAGGCAGATTTACATCAGATACTGCAATCATTCTCACACACAATGTGCAATAATGGCATTATAAACAAAACAAATATATCCTCGTGTCATTGCAAACCAAAGTAGTCTGCTATTTAGTCCGCAAGCAGATGTCGGAGCTATATTTGATGGTGATATAATAGTGATATACCTCAGCTGTTGCCTGTAATAATCATGCAGTCGTTTATATTTAAACCAAGTGTGATTGTCAGCGATAATAAAGACATAAATACTCATACAAACAGTCATCCTGACACTTATAAAGCTGTTTTTTAAACCTAATTTGGTAAGACTTTATAATGAGGTCTATTTGTTTATGATTTTAAGTACTGCTGTTCACTTTTAGCATGTTATTTTTATTATTACTTTAGAATATTCGATTTTAATGTTTTTTGTAACATTATTTGTATCATTAATTAATTTAAGTAATTAATAATTACTCCATTTCTGTCAAATTTCAAACAAAAATTTTCAAACTAAAACTAAAATTGTCTTTATCTGTATTAATATCTATTGAACGACTAAAAATCAGGGTTATGAGCAGAGGTCTGTTCTTCGTACGTGGATTACTCAGTTAGCTGGATTTGATTAGTGACGATTTGACACGATCCAGAATCATTTCATTTTTCAAAACTGATCTGAGAGTTGTTGTCATAGCAACAGTTCTGCTAGCTCAATCCTGGTCTGGAGCAGGTTCAATTCATGTAAACAGGATTAGATTGGGTCAGTTCAAGCAAAGATAATACTAATAAATGTACCAAATGCTGATATTTTCTTACAGTAGTAGTTATAAACACTGGGCAAAATAATAAATATTTTTAAAACTATATATATATATAACTATATATATATATATATATATATAAAGTTATAGTTATTAATAAATAAATAAAGTTATATATATATATTAATAAAACGTATGCAATCTGCACCAACGAAATGAAAGTACAAAGACTGCCACCTGCTGGTGCAAATTGAAAACTTATTGATATGAACTTTTTAGATCGCTTTCGTAAAATCTGTGTATGATAACAGGCATGCACAATATGTGACTTTTTAAAAGCAATAATACATTTATGCAGTCATAAACATGTTTTGACAGTTAATATGACACGGATTTGATGCTTCACAAAAGCTGCAGACGCCTTTACCAATATCAAATATTGTAAACATCCAGTTATTCTTTACACAGAATAAAAAACGGCTATATAAATAATACTACTATAATAAGGAAAATCCGCTCTAACTGTAAAACTAAATAAAAGGCTCTTGACACATGACAGGGCCAAGCATGCAGCCCACAACAAAGGTGTAAAGTTATTGCGTATCATTTTAACAAACCGTTTACTACGGATTTTATGTAATTTAGCTCACATGGATAATTGAATATTAATCAGATGATGTCATTACGCTGCTGTGCCATCAGCCAATCGCTGCATTGCTGATCATGATTTCGAGGATCGATAGATCTGTCCTTCACAACACACACATCAATCTCAGATCAGTTTATCCAGACATTTTAATCTGATTTACGAACTTGTTTGAAGAACCAAATTAGCCAGAGGCCAGATCCAGGATCTGCCAAATCATCTTAAATCATTTAAGTGAGGTACGAAAAACAGACCCCAGGGCTCCGAACCGGTTCAAGGAACGGAAATAAAAAAACGAAAAAAAATATCAAGTTTATTTGTTCTGTATAGAAACGTTTACAGTTAAACGGTTAATAACATTGTTTAATCATTCTCTTTACTATTTGAATTGGGGAGACAAACATCATTCATTTAATGCATGTGTATAAATGCGACGGTGACGCACACAACGTGAAATGCCCGCGAAGCGGACGTTATAAGTGAGAGTCGTTACTGGTGCGATGAGCTTGTTTTAAAGGTTACCGAGAATCATGTACAAAGGTATGTTTCGGTTTAAGTTTCTGTTACTCAAACTTGTATTTATACTAAATGAATTATTGATTGTCGATTGTTTTTAGATGGGTCTCTATAAGTTTTTTTAAGTGGTGCAAAGAAGCACTACAACTGAACACCACAAAACAAAAGAAATGGTAATTGATAATTTTTTTATTTTATGGAATTTTTATGAAAATTTGATGCTAAATATAATTCATGTTAACTTTATTTTTTGCATATAAACTTTTAATTGTTCTGCAGTCATTTCCATTCAACTTGAAGTAAAAGAGTTTTATAGTTTGTTTGTTTTTTTTTCAGTTTTTGCTAACATCCCTGACGTCATAAACAAACGGAACCTCAATGTAAAACAATACCAAAACTGTTAACCATCAAAAAGAAGATCCAAGCCACAAATAAGCACCTGAATGCAACTGAAAACAACAAAAACACAGAAGTATGGCATGTGTGTGTGGGACAGCAGAAAGTCTGACTCTCGTACATGCTCGCACCCACGCACACACACACACACACACAATATTGCACAGTGAAGCCTCTTCAGAAAACACACAAGCCGGGTTTATTTTAGGCTACGTTTACACGACAACCATGCAGTCAAAAATGGAAATGTTTTCCCTATAGAGTTTATACTGTAATTACATCAATTTCCCTTGCGTTTATAATGTAATTATCACATAAAATTATTCATCCTCCACTGAGCTACCACGGTGCACAGTATATAATAATTTACCAGTTATAGTTTTACTAGTTATTTTTTTATAAGATATTAGTATTGCATAAAAAAAAAAAAAAAAAAAATATATATATATATATATATATATATATATATATATATTAAATAATAATATAAATTCTGTTAAGTGGTCTAATAATATTGACATTTAAAATTGATGAAAAAGATATAATATATATAATAGGTAAAACTGTGAAAATGTTCTTGCTTTGTTAAACGAAACTAAGATTTCACAGGAGGGTGAGTCATTTTCCTTCAACAACACTGTAAAACAAACAAGTTGACTTAACTTAAAATTCTAAGACAGCTCGCTGCAGAGTTTTTCTTAAATTGACACAACTTACCCTGAGTCAAGACCAGTACTTGTTACCGTGCAGAGTTACCTTACAGTTTTAAGTTGCATCAACTTTTTTTTTTTTACAGTGTACAATGACAATGCTTTAAGGGTGCTTTCACACTTGATTCAATTGCCTGGACCGTACCCAAGTCTCCCCTTGCCACCTTCTCGGTTGGTTTGTATTCACACTGTCTTTTTTCCTTCTGAACCCCGGTACGCTTGCATCATCAAGCTGCTGTTTTGTTTACGACTGTTGCTAGGTGACGGTCACGAAAGCAAAGCGTCGAAATGGAAATACGTTTGCACATCGTGGTCATTCAGCTTTTGCTGAATCTTTTGGTTTTGGTACGATTGCATTCACATCAGAAGTGAACCGTACCAGAATTCGCATTAACCATACCCCAGACCACCTTTTTCAGGCAGACTCGGGTACGGTTCACAGGTGCGCAGCCGAATTCAGAAGACACGTTTACACTAGCTATACTATGATGTCAATCGAACCCGGGTGCGGATCAAAAGTGCTAGTATGAAAGGACCCTTAAAATAATTTGAGTTTACGCAAAAATGCTGTATTATATATTACTGGCCTGGCAAATACTGCATATATGCCAGGCCAGTAGTTGGCGCTAGATTGCTGTTAGTTAACCACAGCTGTAGGGAATTGTTGTTGTGTGTTTAAAATTGTGTCTTTGTGTTTAGTGATAATATTGGTGAAGTAAATCCAGACTTATACACTAATAACAATGCACTCCGCCATTGTTGTGTGTTTGATCGCACTTGCGGTAAAGTCTAGAAGGGATACAGCTGTGGATACTAGATATAGCATTATTATTGTAACACTGTACAGCAGTAATTAATATTTTTACATTAATGCTTGGTATTATAACTGTTTTTACATAACTGGGACAGTTGGGTGAGGGATAGATGTTAATAAAATTCAATTATTGGGTAATTTATAAAATTATATAAATAAAGCTTAGTATAATTACTGTTTTTACATTAGTGAGATAGTTGGGTAAAGGATAGATATTAATAAAATACAATTTAATGGGTAACACAATACATAATATAAATTATTCTCATAAACTTCCTGTCGTAGCTGTATCCCTTCTAGCAACAACCCACACGTGCCTTTAAAATCGACACGCACTGCTCATGTTTACTTACATAGTATGTACTACACACTAGTATGATGTCACCATTTTTAATGGGACACTTTGTCGGGAAATAGTCTGATTTTACACTCGACCAAAGTTAAGCAGGTGAGTTTTATCAGTTTTAAATACATTCAGCCAATTTTGGGTCTGGCAGAAGCACCTTTAGCTTAGCTTAGCATAAATCATTGAATCGGATTAGACTGTTAGCATCTCGCTAAAAAATGACCAAATAGTTTCCTATTTAAAGCTCAACTCTTCTGTTTTTACATTGTGCACTGAGAAAATGAATTTCCAGGCTGATATGGCTAGGAATTTTCTAGGAACTTCTGTGCATTACGGTTCAAATAGATATGGTTCTGAGTCAGCAGCGATGTAAATATGTCCTGAATCACATCTCACAAATGTTTGCATATGAGTGAAAGATTTTCAGGTGCTACGTAACAATGCACACGATGTAACTATAGAAGGGTCAAGCTTTAAATAGAAAAATTATTAACATACATTGGTCATTTTTGAATGAGATGCTAACGTTCTAATCCGATTAAATTATTTATGCTAAGCTAAGCTAAAAATGTTCTTCTTAGACCCGGAAATTGGCTGAATGTATTAAAAATGGTAAGACTCGACTGTTTAACTCTATAATAATGTGTAAAATCTGCCTATTTTATTTTTTTTTATTTTTTATTTTTATTTTATTTTTTTTATTTGGATGTTTACAAGGAAACTAATGTAATGATGTATTCAAAAACTTGCACTTTGGCAAGTTTTGGCAAAATGAACCCACCAAAATGTTATAAAAATCAGTGTTTCTCAACCACCTTCCTGAAGGCCCCCCTGCTCTGCACATTCTCCATATCTCCTTCACCAAACAGACCTGATTCAGATCATCAGCTCATTAGCAGAGACTGAAAGACTTGTAATGGGTGTGACTGACAAAGGAGACATCCAAAATATGCAGTGCTGGTGGTCCTCAAGGAACGTGGTTGAGAAACACTGATATAAATGAACAGGCAAACAAAAACACAAAAAGTTTCCCGTTTTTGGCTGAAAGCATCGTGTAAACAGTAGCTCAGACTCCTGTGGGTCTTCGGGCAGCAGCAAGGATGACCACAGCACAGTGTTTGCAGATCAATAGCTATGTTTCCATCCACCTACTTTAGTACATCACATAAACAAACACTCAATGGATGCACATACATATTGAAAATGCACAAATGAGCACAACTGAGTAGGATAATCCGATAAGAAAATATGTGCATAACCTACGATGGAAACCAATTTACTGAATAAACTCCAGCATGCGCATCAGTAAAGCGACGTGATTTAGTTTGAACGGATGATGTGATGATCAAAATGCGTGTGATGGGATGCATTAAATGGACAAACCAGCACATGGTTGCAGATCTGAAATGTAGTTCTGCTGATTGTAAAAGACCTCAGCCCTCCGTCAGTCCGTCATCACAGTGCTTCAGTATTATTATTCTCCTATTATTATTCCCTCCACAACTGTCTTGAGCGTCTCATGCCTCCAAAAGCCACCGCGTTCATTGCATTTCGTCTTCATCTTCTGAGGTGCAACTCATTTAATAGAGAAGGAAACCCCCCCAACGCAGCAGATATATCCGAGTTTATTCTCTTTGACTGGATGTAAACACTAAATGTTTTCTGTGATATTTCACCTTTGCGCATAAATCTCATTGGCATGTCTGGATGGAAACATAGCTAGTGTCGTCCGCTTCTCCTCATGCACGGCTAGAAATCCTCCAACTGGCTCTTTAATCCGCTATACGAGGGTCTCGAGGCCTGTGAGTCTGGGCGTCAGTATTCGAGGAGTGATGCCGTTGTTCAGGTCTTCCTCGAACTCTAAAAGTTGCCCCATGAAGTTGAGGTTTGGCGAAATGATGGGCCTCCGCGACTTCACGAACTTGTAGGCGTCCGTCATGGTCATCCAGGTGTGTTTCATCAGGTAGGCGATGACGATGGTGGCGGAGCGAGACACACCAGCCTGACAGTGGATTAGTAGCCCTCGACCGGCCTGATGAGCCTCTTCTACACACACACACAGACACACAATAAACACTTCAGATGGCGAAAACACTCAATAGATGAACACTCTGATGTTGCTAGAGTTTGTATGTGACGTTTCAGCTCAAAATACCACACAAATAATGTGTTCTAGCTCTCTGAAACTGACCCTTGTAGGCTTTGATCTTAATTGTGGTGTTTTAGTGACTGCCTCTTTAAATTCAAATGAGATTGTGCTCTTTTCAAAAGAGGGCGGAGCTATGCAGCAGATTTAAAACTGTAATGCCGAACGGCTGCTTCTCACTCAGGGCTGCCGTTTATGCTAATGAGGGAGAGATGGTCACTAGTGGGCGGGGCTTCCCCCCTCTGATGACACAAACGTTACTAAAGGAGAGTATCAATCAAAGTGTTTCTGATTATAAACAATAGACTTAATTAATGTTTACCATTAGAGGCTTCTTATATTCACACACTGCTGACACACAACTGTGTTTAAGGGCCTACTCACACTATCCGAACCGTGCCCAGGCCTGTTTCCCGGATCGTTTGAGAAGTGTGAGTGCGCTGAATCGGGGTCGAGCACGGTTCACTTGGCCGGCCCTGGCCTGGTTGGAAGAGGTGGGCCTGAGCGCGGTTCGCTTGGGCTTTGGTGCGGTACGTTTGTAGTGTGAGTGCAAAACGCGCCAAAGCCCAAAACTGAAAGCGAGACGTGACTTTTAAGGGGCTGTTTCATATGGATTTATTAATCATTCTTACTGTTCAGTGAACGCAAACTGCCGTAGTTTATTAAAGACGTAAACCCCTCACAGCATGACAGCTGCACGGCTTCAGCAGACCTCCTCATTCCTGCAGCACGAGAGCTTTATGATTGTTTATGAGCGCCAAAAGTGACGGATCTGTTCGGCGAAATATCTGACTGCGTGTCCCCGCATCCCTAAGGACTGTTTGGTGAAATATTTGACAGCATGTCACTGCATATCAAACGACTGAAATGATATAACTAGAGAAATCTCCACTGTGCTGCTGAGTGAGAGAGCGCTTCTCACTGAACAGCGCAGCAGCGATGACGTAAGTGTGCCCAGGCCCGATTGTGGTGTGAGTGCGGGCCGTCGGGGGAGACGGGAGGGGGGACAAGCGTGCTTTGGCCCGGTTCGAGGCAACTGTACTGAGTCTGATTCCAGCGACGCTCCAGGGACAGACGAGTCTTCGCTGAGGCCATCTTCCAGCCTCCACCACGGCGACTGAAGCTCTGCACAAGACTTTTGGCCAGCGGAGAAATTAAAATGGTCGTGCCCAACTGAGTCCAACTGAGGTTCTCTCAAGGTTTTTTTTCTTCACTCCCATCAGGTGAAGTTTTTTTTCCCTCTCCGCTGTTGCCACTGCCTCGCATGGTTCAGGATTGGTAGAGCTACGCATCGATGAATTTGCTCTTCAGTGTTTGAACTCTCAGTAATGATTAAATCACACTGAACTGAGCTAAACTGAACTGAACTTAAACACTAAAACCTGAACCACACTGTTCCAGTTACTATGACCATTTATGTGAAGCTGCTTTGACACAATCTTCATTGTAAAAGCGCTATACAAATAAAGCTGAATTGAATTGAATTGAACTGTACCTAGTGTGAGTACGGCCTAAACCCCTTATAAAAGTTATCTACAAGTGAGTGTGGTTAGTATAGTGTGTACTACCAATAAATTCTAAAATGTAACTGCTTAATACACCTACTGTAAAATAATACAACCAACATCAAAAAGAATTAGGATAAAGTTGTGACTTTTCTGGAAAAAAATCATGATTTCTGTCATACCGCCCACCTCTACTTAAACAGCTAATTGTGAAAAGAATTCAGCAAAGACGATCCTTCTGTTGACTACAACAAGTATAGCAACTGTTTATCAATATTTGTAGCCACGCCCCTCTTTACGAAAGTCACTATGCCAGATTGTGCGATTTTCGTCTTGATAAAATCTTGACTTGTTGTGGGTAACAATGTGCCAGACTACACGTTCTTTCACGATCAGTCATCACGTGATCTCAACGACGAGTGTTATTTCCCAAAGCAGTCACAAGTGTTGCTACAACAATATTTCTTATCTCAATTTCGACCTTTTTAAATTAAATTTTAATCTCAGTAAACACTGATGCTTGCAGACAACTAATAACTACTTTAGTGCAGGGCATTCGTTCTGACATGGATAGGATTAAACTTTTTGATTCATTTTTAATATTAAGATATTTTCTTTGAAATCTAAATGTATATTTTCCAGCCTTGGGTTGCTTATTAAACAATTCCTCACCTGAACTTGCCACAAGTGAGACGGAGAAAATGAAAGCACATCAGCACTGAGGAAAAATCAGATGCTCAAGACACAATCTTTAAAATAATGATTAAAAATTAAGATTAAAATAAAGATTAAAATTGCCGGCAATTTTCCGGAAAGATTGTATGTGTGAACAGGCCCTTTTTGAAAATACCGGTAAATTCGTTCTGGCTATTTTCCGGAAAGAGAAGTTGTAACATTACCGGCAATTTGCCGGAATGCTGCGCTGTGTGAATGCAGAAGCAAGATTGCCGTAATAAGCGCGTCCTCGTCTAGACCGTGCTAACGTGAGACGCCTGCTTTAGCCAATCACAACAGTCAGACGCATTTACGTCTGCGCGGTTTGTGAGGATAAAAGCCTTTGAATATTTTTTCCAGACACATTTAGCTGCTAGAAGTTAGTCAGATCACGTTTATATGTTCTTCTTAATGCCAACTGTGTAAATAATCATCGATGAGATGCTTATGATAAGCCGTTGTTTGTTTACCTTCAAGCTTTGCGTGTGCCTGTGAAACAGCCTGTGAGCGCCTGCACACGCACATACAGTATTCACAATATTGATCATCCACAGAGTTTGTAATTTAGTAAAATGTTTACAAATACAAGCGCAGCCGTTTAAAGCTCATTTGTGGTGAATGATGTCAGAATTTACCGGTATTTTGGAATGGATGTGTGAATGCTCTTTTCTGGAAAATTTCCGTAACGTCCTCGCCTGTGTGAACAGCGCTTTTTTTGAATATACCGGTAAAGTCTTCCCGGAAATTTTCCAGATATTTACCGGTATCACTGTGTGAAAGGGGCTAATGACATATTAAAAATATAGCAAATATATAACTGAGATTTGTGATACAATCACAGTGAAGCATTCATTAAATCCTATATTCATTATATCCTAAAATATTAACCAATGATTGATCATATCTACCCGTCACCCACCCATAAGTAAATGTGCAGCCTGTTTTTTGATTACCTGACCTGCGGATTAACAGCAGCACCCACTGTTATAACCGATAAATGATGTACTCCTACCGGAATACGTTGTGAAGAACGAGAAAAAAATTAAACATGCTGGACTTTCTGCAATGGTGTCGTGAGGCGTCGCAGGCATGGTATTGGTTGTCGTGTACTATGCCACATTACATGAGAAGTGATTGAATCTTGTGTAACGACGTCCATTTGTCGTTTACAAATCCCCACGACAACCTACATCATTAAAATCGTGCCGACAAACTCGTGTGATCTGACGTAGGCTTTGCTGTTAGTTTGCTATGAAGGAATGGTGTGCAAAAGAAAGCCCCGCCCCCTACTCAATATTCCATTTCAGCTAGATGCACATCAACATGCTAAAATAAAAGTCTCGGCAACTTCCTGATCATATTAGGATTAGCTATTATGCTACAATCACTTGCATAAAGAGTTTAAGCACAGCAGTGTGTGAATAACACCAGCCTCTAATAATTAAAGTGAATTAATTCTATCATTAATAAGCAAAAGTCGGGTTAAAATCATGATTTTCCTGCAGTGTGTACGAGTGTAGTGTGCGCTACCTATGAACTCGAAGGCCTCCTCGAAGTACTGCCGCAGGTTCTGCTTGTTGCTGTCGGTGGCGGGCAGACGTTTATAGCAGAACCGTGCGATGTCGTAGTGGTAGAGCGGCAGGTGTGTGGTGACGTTGAGGACGAAACCGATGTCCAGACGCTGTAGAAGCTCCAGGTCTTGCGCGTCCCGCTCGTTGCCCAAGTAGAGGAAGGGCAGGACGGCCGTCAGCTCCGCGTTCTCGATGTCCGGCGTGGAGGGCAGGGAATGAGGTAGAGCCCCGGACAAACCCATGGCTCCGCTGCCGTCCTGACCCTCATCCAGATGGAGAGAGTGCTCACACAGGTCAGCGTGGGTCTGCCGGAAACCAGAGAGACCTCCTGACACAAACAACACACAACATCAATTTCAGTTAGGTTACTGTCCATTAACCATAGAAATGTGTCTTAGGTAAGGCTCACATATGGTTGTAGTCAAAACTAGAAAAGTAAAGTTAGTATACAAACTTTATGGCGTCCTGAGAAAGCCTCGTCTGAAAGTTTGAAGTACCTTTAAAGTTGAAATGACTGAAATATTTATGTTTTTAAGAAGTTTGAAACAGTCTGAACTACATAATGTTAGCATGTTTCTAGCATGAATTGGCATGTTTATTGCTATGTGGTTGCTATGGTGTTCTGAGTGGTTGCTAGGGTGTTCTGAGTCATTGCTAAGGTGTTACTAGGCGGTTGCTAGGGTGTTCTGAGTTCTTGCTTGAGCGTTGCTAGGCAGTTGCTAAGTGGTTGTAAGGCATTGCTAGGGGCTTCCAGGTAGTTGTTAATGTGTTGCTAGGTGGTTGCTAGGGTATTCTGAGTAGTTTCTAGTTCGACTGAGTGGTTGCTAAAGCATTGCTATGTGGTTGCTAGGTTGCTCTGAGTGGTTGCTAAAGCATAGCTAGGGTATTCTAGGTAGTTGCTAAGATGTTGATAGGAGGTTGCTTGGGTGTTCTGAGTGGTTGCTAAGGTGTTGCTGGGATGCTCTAGGTGGTCGCTAAGGTGTTGTTAGGTGGTTCCTAGAGTGTTTTGAGTGGTTTGCTAAGGCATTGCTGGGTTGTTGCTAAGATGTTGCCAGGGTGTTCTGAGTAGTTGCTCTAAGATGTTGCCAAGTGGACGGTAGGGTGTTTTGAGTGGTTGCTAAGGTGTTGCTAAGGCATTGCTAGGGTGTTCTAGGTGGTTGCTAAGGTGTTGCTAGGGTGTTCTGAGTGGTTGATAAGGCATTGCTAGGTGGTTGCTAAGGTGTTGCTAATGTGTTCTGAGTGGTTGCTAGGCAGTTACTAACATAAATTACCATGGTTTTAGTATGAATTAGCATGTTGCTAGCATGTTTCTAGCATACATTAGCATGTTGTTAGCATGGCTCTAGTATGAATTAGGATGTTGCTAGCATGTTTCTATAAACTAGCATGTAGTGCTCAGTGTTTAGCACTGTGTCCTCACAGCAAGACAGTCCCTGGAGTCCCGGCTGGGTCAGTTAGCATTTTTATATGGAGTTTGCATGTTCTCGCCATGTTGGTGTGGGTTTCCTCTGGTTGCTCCGGTTTCCCCCACAGTCCAAACACATGCGCTATAGGGGAACTGATAAACTAAATTGGCCGTACTGTATGAGTGTGTGTGAATATGTGTGTATGGGTGTTTCCCAGTACTAGGTTGTTTGGTTTTATTTGACCAAAGACATTTCAGGCTTCACTTTTCGCTGCTTTCTAGAAAACCAAACCGGAAATCAAGGGTGTGTGACTTCATTAGGATGAACACACACACAGAGGCACTTTTCATTATGGATGGTTGCACTTTATTGTACATAAACTTTATTGTTTTGGACAGTTGGAGAGAAGCAGCCAGCCTCTGCCATTGGAGTTTTTTATTTTTTAAGAACTCCATTTGATTTGACTGGAAGATGAAAGTCAATTAATTATTGTTTTACCATTTAGAAGCTGGTTCTATTCACACACTGCTGCCACACAACTGTGTTTAAACCCCTTATAATAGTTATTTATGTCTCCTTGAAGACATATTCAAACTAATACACACACACTAGTCCCGTCACAATAATCAGTACACTTATTGGCACAACACAATCATTTTTAGAGATGCAATATAGATCACCCATACATAAAAAACACCTTTGAGCTGATTGTGCAACATCTCGTTCTCTATTGGAGGTGTCAGTGTCAGTATGGTTAATAAACACTGTTGTATTTACTATAAATTACTATAGTATATTCTCATGTGCGTGTCTGACAGCTGAAAATAGATCTGGTAGCAGATATCACAGCCTCTGTTACTCTTTACCTTGCACTTTATTTTTAATTATTTAGGAAATGTGTTTTCACATTCTGACTCCAATGCATAATTATTAAACTGTTAAACTGACTACAATTAAATGAAATACTCTGCTGCTATTTTGAGATTTCCGCCTGGATTTTGCCTACCCAAATTTAAAAGCTTCCCAAATCCACATGCAGAGGTGTAAATGCACAAATTTGGTATCATTTTTAAAGAAAACCCTTTGAATTTTCATAAAACACTATTGAAAGTGTTTAAAATATCTGTTTATGTCGTCTGTGTTATATTAAACACCTAAAAAAGAGGCGCTTTTGTATTTTTTTATACACTCAGATTTGAAAGTCTACCTTTTAGGTTCTGTGTGGTCTAGCGTGCTGTAATTAATGTTGGTGGTTCCTGCACATGTCTGTAATCATAGGGAATAAGAGAAATGTCTCCACCATAATCTATGCAAAAGTTATTGTATTCCAACTGATGAGAGGTGCTGTACAAGCCACAGGGATCGATCATTGTTTTCATATTTCACTATTCTTTTGTTTGATCAAACATAATTCACTGTGTTTGGACCACGTCAGACATATAAAAGGATTACTTATGCACATCAGCTCAAAAACAGAGGAGAATGGCCCTGAAGCGCACAGCATAAGGTGAGAGATGACAGCTGTCTGTGCTATCTGGGGCTGCTTATTGATCATTAATGTATTGTTTTCACTTCTGCGCCATAGAAACACGGCGATTCATTCGACAACTGTTTGATATGTGAATATAATTCAGTATGAAGAACGCTAGAGCCGTATGAGCACCGGCAAGAGCTTTCATTTGAGCTATAACTTGTACGTGTCGTATATGAACAATATGAAAATGAGCCAATGTTCAATACCCAGTTCGGGTATCCAAAATACTGTGTATTTAAGTGTAAATAACTTTTGTACAGTAAATAAAAACCAAAGTGATGCACATGTGCAGAAAATATAGCTTCTACACTTTCAAACGAAACCACTTACAGGGGTCTGGTGCAATGCTAGCCCATTAAATCTTAAAGCGAAATTCGATGACGTCACGGTCCGCAGAGTTTAACTGGTTAAGAATAGAATAGAATGTGTTCTTTGGAAGTGTACTTGCATTGTGATGATATTCTGGCATTATATAATGATGAGTGGCATGAAATGGTCTTAAAATTACAATAATATTGTTTATGGTGACATATTTTGGTGCAATATATCATACAACACACACACACACACACACACACACACACACACACACACACACACACACACACACACACACACACACACAAACACACACAAAAAGGAGTTTAATATGACCAACATGTGATAATGGTTCATGTGCAGCAAACAGTGTTAACGTGCTTATTTTTCATCATGGTAAGACGTGTCCTGCTTTTTGAGGTCAGGTGACAATTTGCATGTAATTTGCATTTCAGGTCTAGATCGTGTAACAGATCTGTCGTATTTGCATGAATGATTAAAATCTCATGAGAAAAGTCAGCGCTCATCACGTTTAACAGGTCATCCTGTACATTCACTGCAGGTCAGAAACATGGAGAAAATAAAATAAAAGACACACATGTCATTTAAACTCATTCAGTCATAGTTAACACATATACAAACACACACACACACACACACACACACACACACACACACACACACACACACACACACACACACACACACACACACACACACACACACATGCATTGTTATTCTTTAATGTAACATTATTTTCTAATACAATGTTTATTTCAATTTCATTATATAACCTCCATAATTAAATTATATATATATATATATATATATATATATATATATATATATATATAGTTGAAGTCAGAATTATTCAATTTTTTTTCTTCTTTTTTTTTAAAAATATTTTCCAAATGATGTTGAACAGAGCAAGGAAATTTTCACAGTGTGTCTAATAATATTTTTTTCTTCTGGAGAAAGTCTTACTTGTGTTATTTCAGCTAGAATAAAAGCAGTTGTTAATTTTTTAAACTCCATTTTAGGGACAATATTATTAGCCCTTTTAAGCTATATTTCTACTGTCATCATGAAAAAGATAAAATAAATCAGTTAAAAGAAATGAGTTATTAAAACTATTATGATTAGAAATGTGTTGAAAAAAAATCTTCTCTTCATTAAACAGAAATTGGGGAAAAACAAGTGTCTAATAATTCAGGGGGGCTAATAATTCTGACTTTAACTGTGTGTATATATATATATATCATCCTAGCGCCGGGCCTGCATATGTGTGTGTGTGTGTGTGTGTGTGTGT